GATGTATGGGCAGTGTCTGACATGCCACTCAGGCTGAGAACATGACTTGGAACATCAAGGAAGTCTGTGAGCTGACCTTTGGAAAAAGGTTTACAAAACTAACTACATAGATGCCAACACAGCCACAGTTCCTCAGATGGTAGTCTGATAGGGGAAGAACATGAGAAACCTTCATTTTAGGAAATCTGGAAAGTAAAGTGATTGTGTTGAAATGATTTGCTTTTTCGTTAATTACCTAGGTATTTTTGACTGTTTGGTGGGGGTGGGTCTTTATTTAAGTGAGCAAAAATGTAAGTAAACACTATGTGGGTCCTGTCTTACTATCTTCACCCCTAGAAATTGTGGAATTGCACTCAGAAACTCTTCTAAGGCATATCCCCAGACTTCTTTCCTTGGGCAAGACAGCCTTGCTATGACAATTAACATACAATGTACCACCCACATACAAATACAAGAATCTGTTAGGGCATAATTTTTTAGTCCAACAGCTTATTCTGTGTAGAGAGCAAATACCCCCACCCATCCATGTGACCTGCCCAATAGAATCTAGTATTTAACCAACCCAGGTTTGAAAGCAGGCTACTTGTCTACAAATGAGCGTTGTATTTTGGCAGATTATGTAACCTCTCTATGCTTCAGTTTTATGAAGATGGCAACAACATGTATCTCCTAGAATCAGTGTGACTATTAAGTTAAATAAATGCATGTAAACCTTGTAATGATACCAGATATTTTGGAATAATTTCACATGCATTAACTGTCATTGTAATTATTACAAAATTATTATAAGAGGAACCTGTTACATGCCTGCTGTCTATAAACCTCTATCATCGTCCTCTTCTATTATTCCATGTTGCCTCCTTCTCTTTGTCCCTATCATTCTTCCCCTTATACATCCCCTGCACTTTATTCTCCACCACTCCCCCCTTATCTCATGTCATAGTCTCCTATTAATTCCCAAGTGCCCTTCCTTCTTATCCCTTGCCATCTCCTGTACTTTATTCCCCATCACCACTCCTCCTTACCCCATGTCATCCACTCCTTATTTATCTCTCCTTTATCCCATGCCAACACCTACTCTTTATTCAGGATCTTCTCCCTCTTTTTCTCATGTCATGCCCTCATATTACTCTATAACACTTCTCTTTCTTATCCCTGTCATCTTTTCCTCTTTATTCTCCATGATCTCCCCCTTTAATTTCATTTTATCTTCTCTTCTTTATTCTTTATTCTCCGTTACCCTTCCTCATCTCATGTCATCTGCTCTTCTTTATTGGATTATTCTTCCCCATTATCCCATGCCATCCTTTCCTCTTTATGCACAATCACACCTCCCCTTACCCTATGTTCCCTCCCCCTTATCATATATCACGCTCTCCTCTTTATTCCCTATCATCTTTCTCTTATACCATTACCCCCATTCCTTATTCCTGGTTACCCCCTTGCCCCATGTCATCTCATCTTATCTTCCATCACACCTCCTTCTTACCTTGTATCATCCTGTCTTTTTTATCCACCATCATCCCTCCCCTTTATCTCATACCACCTGCACTTTGTTCCCCATCACCCTTACCCCTTACCCTTTTTCATTCCCTCCTGCTCATAAACTATTGTCTATTCCCTTTATCTCATGCCATCTTCTGTTTTTTATCCCTCATCACCTCATAATCCCATGTCATCCTCTCTTCTTTGTTCTCCATCACTCCTCCCTCCTTAGCCCATATCAAGCCAATTTCTTCATCCATCATCTTCCCCCTTAAAGCCATGCCACATATCCTTTATTCTCCATCACCCTTTCACCTTATCCTACACAATTCCCTTCTCTTCATAATCTATTCCCTTCATCCCATGTGGTACCCTCCTTATGCCGCATCACCCTCTTGACCCATTTCACCCCTTCTTCTTTATCCACCATCTTTTCCTTTTATCTCATGGCATACCCTTTATTTACAATCACCCTTTCCCCTTATCCTCTAATTCCCTCCCCTTTATTCCCATCTTTCTTCCATTTTTATTTCCCATCATCCTTCCCTTTTATGTCCCTCTTCATTATTCCTGATAACCCCCCTTATCCCATGTCTTCCCATCTTCATTATTTTCTATTCTCTTTCCTCCTGACCCCATATCATCCCCTCTTCTTTATTCACTATAATCCACCCACTTTATCTCTTTACCCACCATTATGTTTCCCCTTTATCCCATGTCATCCTCTCCTTTCTATCCACAATCACCCCTTCCATTTATACCATGCCATCCACTCATTTTTATTCCCTGTCACCCCCTTTATGCAGTGTTATCCCCCTTCTTTATTCCTCACCACCGCTCTGAGTCCTTATCCCATATTAACCCCTCTTCTTTATTTGCCATCATGTCCCCCTTTATTTTGTGCCATCTCTTTATTCCCCATCACCTTCTCCCTTACCCCATATCATTCTCTCCTTTTAATTCATCATCTCTCCCTTTATTTCATGTCATACCTTCTTTATCCCCTTCACTCTTTACCCATATCATCTTCTCTTCTTTATTACCCATCACCCCTTCTTCTTATGTCGTATCATCCACTCCTCCTTTTTTATTCCCCACCCCGTCTGCCTTTTATATTATCTCGCCTTTTTCATTTCCTATCAACCTCTCCCCTTTATTTCTCTTCTCTATCTTATATTCCCCTTTAGATCATCACTCAGAGTTCCCAACTCACCCCTAAAATTCTAAGTAAGAAAAATCACACTGTACAACATGAGTATGCTGCTGTCACAATACAGATGTTTATTAATGATGAAATGCCAGAGAAGTTTTAACAATCACAAATCTTCGAGCTCTGTGGTTGTTACCCATTGTATGATCAGTTTCTATCCCTCAATACAATACATTCTTCATTCTAAGGACCTTAACAGTTGTTAACCCTAAATATCAGTTATAATTTGGATGTCATACATAACCCATATCTGTGTTTTACCAGAGCAAGTCCCGCAAATTTGTACCGTCCTGCATAGAGGAAGTACAGAGACGATAGGTAAGAGAGTTTGTAATCAGGTGACATTAACTACTTGGAACTATGTGTCTGTGCCTAACTAATTGTTTTACTGACAAGGAGAGCGTGAACACCCGCTGTCTTTAAAATTGGTCCAGGACTAAAATCTAATTTTTTTCCTCTAAATTTTGACCCCAGAAAAGCTAGTTAGGCTTGAATTGAGGTTTCCCTGTTGGCGTGTCCTGAGCAAAACTGCACAGAATTTTGGGAGTGGCTATTTGACGAGCCATTGGTCTAAATAATTTGAGGGGGAGAAAAAAAAATCCTGAGGCGGTGGAGTTGCTGCGGGGACACGGCTATGAGTTGGTGTGACACAGTTTAGCATTAATTGTTTGTCAGCTGTCTGTAGGCTGACCTAACACTCTAACATGCCTCTTGAGGGCCTTTCCAGTGAGCTCTCGGGAGGAAGGTAGGAAAGTCAGGAAAAGCATGCAATCCCCTTGGGAGGGGGGAGGGAAAGCACCTCGAGATTTGTGAGCTTCTCTGGGACAGATGTTTACCACAAATGTAACATCAATTAAAGGAAGGGGCTGTAGTGAGAGAAAGCCTGGATCAGGGGTAAAAGAGAAGGCAAGGTAGCACCAGGGAGCCTGGGCATGACACAGAAACATCTCTGCTTTTACAAGCTGAAGATACCAAGCATCCCCAGTAATGGGGCTGGCAGTGTATTTGGAATTCACATCCTGACCCGAGCATCAGGTGGAACTCCTTCTTACCCTCAGATCTTTGTCTTCAAGACTCCTGAAAGTTTCCTGTGACATTCCAGGTCTACCCCCACCCTTTTCCCCTGTCCAGCAACTTATGGGGGGGAACATCTAAGGAGAGAAGCCGGTGCCAGATTTGCCCCCCTTCCGCCGGGGCACACGGGGCAATGGGTGGTCCTTCTCCACTTTGGGGGGTTTACCCACTCCTTCCTCATCATCATGGTAACGGGCAGTGCCAGCAGGCACAGTGGGCTCCTCAGAAGAACCTGGAAAATAGTAACAATATTAACTTCTTATGTTTCTAGACTTCACACTTTGCACGCCACCAAGGCACTAAGACCTAGCTTTGAGTTTCAAATACAATACAAGGTATAAGGCAGAGAAAGGAAAATCACCCCAATGTAACATGAAAGAAAACTTCAGCCTAATAGAACAAAGAGTTTTGAATCTAGGAGCATTGTGGAACTCGGCTTAAGATTTGGGTTAAGAAACATAAAGAGTGAGGCAGATGCCCCATGCTCAAAGCAAATAGACCATACCACCATGAATATGGGGGGGGGAGTGTAAACTCCTAATCACCAATACCATCCTACAAGTAACCTGGTTAACTTTATGAAGCAAATGAGTAACAGAGCTGGAGCTGGAAGCTTACAACACTGTGTAGAGGGGAACAGAAAGTAAATGTTATTCTCCAGTAATTCTTGGAAAAACTTGTAGCCCATGACTAGGACAGACAGAGACTTGTTTGTAAGCAGGGTAGTTCCCACAGGGAATGTAATATCTGCTTCACCTTTTTGGAACCAAGTTGCCTTTTGATTCTGAATTTCTTTAGAGTTGAGATCTTTTGGCACAGGGACTTTTACATTCATGACATCTTCAAGACTGACAACTACATCTTGTGATGGACAAATCTTCAGTCTCTGGAGCCATCATGCTAACTTCATCTTCATCAAAAGCACATACTTGGTCACTCTTCACATCTGGAATCTCACTGTGCATTTGAGCATTCTCAGGCTCAAGCACTTTGCTCATAACTGAGGCTTCTTCAAGATCAGGTCTTTCTTCAGAGTCTTGGTCCCCACTAACACAAGAGGCTTCTTCATGTCCTTGTCTTTCATCATCATCTGTGACTTCTCCATTTTTTAGGGCTCCACTCACCTCTGAGGATTCTTCCTGTTCTCCAGAATCAGGGGTATCTTCAGGACATGTGACCATATGGAGAGCTAGAATTTCTTCAGGGTTAGGGGTTTCTTCCAAGTCCACAACTACATTGACTTCTGGAGCTTCTTCTTGATCAGGAATTTCTTCAGCATCTGAGGGTTCTTCATCACTTGGGATACCACCAAAACCTCTTCAAGATTTGGATCTTCATCAGAGTCTGAGAGTCCATTAACTTCTGAGGATTCTTCATAATTTGGAACTCCATGTCCTGCAGGGACTTCTTTGGGACTTGTGACCACATGTAGAGCTGGAACTTCATCAAAACCAAGGTCTTCAGAGTCTGAAACCTCATTAATTTCTGGATATTCTTCATAATCTGGGATCTCTTCTTCATTTGGTGGTTCATCATTTAGGGTTTCATCAGCTGATGGGATCTCTTCAAAATTGGGAACTTCTGAATCTTGGGGTTCATCATTATTTGGGGCATTTACATTATCTGGGACTTAATGAGTGTCTGGGGCTTTATCATTACCTGGGATTTCATCCATGTCTGAGTCAGTATCTTCGTTGTTTGGAATCACATCGAGGTAGGGAACCTCTGCAAGATCCAGATGGTCCTGGTCTTCAAAATCTGAATCTTCATCAAAGTCATAGTTCAGGGTCTCTCCATAGTTCAAGATATCCTGCATATCTGGAACTCCTTCAGGGTCTGGAACCACATCAAAACAAGATAATTCTTCAAAGTTTGAGACTTCAGTGAATTCAAATTCTAAATTATACTCAAAGGAAGGTATACCATCAAAATTCAGAGTGTCATTATCATCCTTACCAGCACCCTCCTCATCCTCACCATCAACTTCTTCATCAAGCTCTGGTAAGCCCTCAAGATGTGGGCCACAAATATCAAGGTAATGTGGGATTTCAACACCTTGAACTTTCCCCCAAACTACTCCCTCACTGAGATATTAAAATACTAACTCTTCATTTACATACATATTATTCTCAGAGGGTTCTCCTTCCTTTCCCAAAAGGCTTATCTTCAGCTAGGACCCATTTCTCTACAAAGGCCTACCTTTCTGAAAGGGAATGACCTTCAGTAAGGGCCTAACCTTTAGCAGAGATCGAATCTCTCATAGGAAACTGACCTTCATCAAAGGGCTGGCTCTGGGCACGGACAGCAGCCTCGGCTTCAGCAGAGTTTTCCACTGGATCAGAAAGTAGAGCATCCTCTTCCATCTTTATGCGAGCACTCCTAAATGGGAAGGAATTTGAAAAAGTTGGTATGTTTGCCCCAAAGTTAATTAATATCAAGATGGCATAAAACTATTAAATCTTATAGTGTAACATAAACAATCCATAAAGTTAAAACTACACTCACTGGATCTTCCTCAGGTTCCGGCGTCTGATAAAATCCAGGGCTTCAGGGCTGGACTTCCACACACGCTTAGCTACCTGCTTCTGAATATGGGGGGGCACCTGGAGGTAAAAGTTGTAATCTTAATTGCATATCTCTTTTCATCTTTTTTGGGTATTTGGCACTGAAGACACTGTGACCAGCAAACATGGGAGGAATTTCTAGAATAAGAGACTTGGTTATCCACATAGAACCCTCCGTTATCTTGTAAACAGAAGAGGAATATGTAGAATAAGAATACTCAAAAATCCTGCTTACCTTGAAGAGGATATCCCAATTATCAATCATGGCACGAACCACGTTGACAGATGCAACATAGTGATCAATCCCCAGCTTTGTCTTCCTGGATTCTTTCTTGGCCAACTTCCCCTTCTTCAGGAGAGCAGTTCCAAACACCAAGGCCAAGTTGGTGGAAGTCATTCGATTACCTGGAACCTAGGTAAAGAAGTGTGATCAACCTTGAGGTAGTGCTAGAAGATGTACAAATAGATGTGTATCGTTTTTATTGTTTTTTTTTTTCTTTACCACTTTACATCAAACTTGATTTCACTACCCTTTCCCACGAATTTTTACCACTTGTCCATCAACGCCAATGGAGTCTTCGCAGTTCTCAGTGATTTTATGCAGAGCCTTCAGCAGACGTTCAAGGGTATCACTGTGGCAGGGTGGCATCAGGTAGACCAGCAGCTGCAGGGCAGAAACCTGATCCTGGGGCTTCAGAGCTAGAGGAAGGAAAATAGGACTGACTCAGTGGGCTTGTCTTCGAAGTAGCCTGATATCAAAGCACAAACATTTCTGCCTCATAGTTGCTGTTGGTTCTGGAGAAAGTACCCAGGCAACATGCTTTTGATTCCTTCCAAAACATCTGGCTGAGATCAGGGTCTCTGAAACCAGGAAGTTCCCTTCTCAACCTCAACATTAAAATCAACTCTTTACAGAGCCTGATTTATCATTGCCCTGAGAAGACACAGCCACCAACTTCCAGAAGCTTAAAGGGAAATTCCAAGCAACAGATTTGTCAGGGAACAAGAGACACAGAAAGCAACCTGGAGAGGGTTTTATTGGTTTTTTAATTTTCATTAACAAATAGTGACTTGTATTCTGAAGAGGTACGTTTCATATTCTGATGTTCATTCTACCCTAGATTCACGAGGGTCCTATAGCCAGAGCTCTCTCATTAGATTTGTGCAATGCTTCTTTTTCTTACACCAACAATGGAGGGCAGAAGACTCACTTGCAGTCAGGAGGAAGGACATGTACAGATCATCAGGCAGCAAAGAGTCCTTCATTTCACGGAAAAACTCCCTGAGGAGTGCGGCCACATCATTTACATTCACACTGTCATCCAGCACAATATCCAGATTTTTGTCAAATAACTCACGGAGCTAAAAGAGGGGGAGAAAGTTGTGAAATGTCTGCCTTGCCCACAATATGCATGGTCTTGGACAGTTCTTCAAGAAGTGGCAGGCTTCAGTGAAGATGGCTGGTAATGTAATATATCCAGGGGCCTATAAAGACTATCTTGCTCTCCCCATCAATCACCCCATGTGTATGAGGGAGCCCTTATTTCTTTCTTCCTTTTCTTACCCAAAGAACAAACATGTAAATGCAGTCAGTTTACCTCAAGCACTCTGCGCACAGAGTACTCAATGGTGAAAATCCCCACAGAGCTTAAGCCTGAAAGAAAAGATAAGAGATACTAAGCATCTATGCCCCCTGTTTCCCCATTATGTTCCCCCTTTTTCCCTTAGCAACTGCATTCCAACTTTCAGTGGTATCAGGGGGAGGGATGCTATTCAAGCCCTCCATCCTATAGCTTCTCTCTCTTTCCCTTTCTGGAACATTCTTCCTTTTCCCTTTACTTGCTGCCTTCTCTGATTTAACCATTTTGGCTTCCTTACCATGCTTCTCAATGAATTTGCAGCAAGTCTCAACAATCTGAGGGACTTGTTGAGCAATTGGGTTGAGGCTCATCTTTCTTTTGGATCCCAAAAGTCGCTGCCCGATAGGAAATGAAGCGTGTGAAAACTGCAGGGTCTGCAGCAGCAGGGCCCCATTCTCCATTTCATACAGGCTATCCATGGACACTGCACCCTGTGGAAAAATCCAGACTATCTTGAAATGGAGGAGAAGGAGCATCCATTGGGACCTTCCTAAGTGCTGAGTGACATTCAGAACCTGACAGTCACTCTGTGGTAAGACAAGCCCGCCCCTTCTATTTCTGTTCAGTCCCCACACCCTAAGAACACGGGTCCTGATTCCTCTCCATAAAGGGACCCTGTCTGAAACCTCTGAGACTGAACTCACTCGACGACCACGGCGAGTGAACTCTCTGGGAAGGGTGGGTTCATTATTCCTCCTGCGACTGAAAAAGCGCCTCATGCGTCCAAGCATCCTTTGCACCACATTTCCCCGACGACGACGGCCAGGACCTGTAGCATCTTCATTCTGCATCGCAGCTTCCAGTTCGAGGTGCTTGCGGTGGGTAAGCTCATTCACAAGCACCTCTTCCAGGCGGATGCCAAAGGTCTTGAAAGATGCAGCTGGGAAAGAATTGCAAACGTCAAAGCCCCATAGCACCTGTATTGGGGGAGGGGAGGCTACATGGGCTTACAGTATTACTCTTCCCAGCAATCATCAATAATCAACCCAGCCCCACCCCTGGCCAGCAGCGCCCCTCTGTGGAGATCGAGACCCTGCAATAGTTAAGTGAAAATGACTCAACATATCACTCAACTACCCCGACGTGGCTTAAGGTTTCATCCCTGCCTAATGTCTTGCTAGGGCTTGAGCACATTGAAGCAGTGAGGGAGATTTCTTCTTGGGTTGATCTGTCTGGGGTCCACAGGGAAGCTAAGACAGGTCTGAGACCCCAAGAGCAAGCAGCTATTCCTCCATTTCCTGTTATTACCCTCTAGGGGGTTTCTGGGAGGGAGAGGGAAGAGTCTTCAGGGCATCAGTCCGAATCCAGTATCCAGGGACACACTACCAGAGGGGGTTTAGCCTTTTGTTTATTTCCTAAGGAAAAGACAAAAAGCCCCCTCACCCCTCTCCTGTCCTCTCAGGATCATAACCCACTTCTCCAGGGTGTTTGGGCCGTCATCGGGTAGAGCTATGAAAAGAAAAAAAGAAAAAACATCCATTCACTTTCATATAGGAAGTGATAACTTACTAAAACATGGCAGTGAATTGATCTGCAGTGTGGGGATGGGAGTGGGAGGCTGTCCAACCCAAGAAAAGGGTTTTTTCTACTTTCTCCCAGCCTCAGTTTCCCCTCCTGACAACAGGATTTGTCCTACCTAGCACATTCTAGATTCCAAGAATTTAACCTAACCAGTTTAATGCACCAGATGCATCTTGCTATGAACCAGTAATTACTCAGCACATCACTTAAAACATAAATTCAAAAGCTCAGAGGCGCTCTGATCATGCAACAGGCGAGGGGAGGGGCTCTGCCTGCAGCGCCACCACGGGTGAGGGTCGCCAAGTTACTGCGGAAGCGCTCACGCGCGGATTTGCCGCGCTCCTGGTGCTGCGGTGAGAGAATTGGCGACACCTGGCTGTTTCCCCGTTCCAAATCCCGCAGTGGTGACTGCCAGGGGGGGTCTCCTACCCTTTATGCTTCTTCCAGTTCAGGCTGCACCAGAGGTGCGCGCCTGGTGAATCTGGCATCCACCCCTGCACTTCCCAGTCTTACTGGAGCGCCCCTCGAGCATCTCATACATCTCCCACATCTCCCACCTCCCCTAAAGCCTGCAGCTAAATCTGTGCGCATACCCCTGAGATCTCTTGGAGTGCTAGAACCGGGTCCTGCTCCTGGTCCCCTGGCTTCCCCACAACTATCAGAGCTGGGGTGCGCTCCGAGCGCACCGCCAAACCCCAAGCCCGCACCGCCCTCGGGCTCTTTGACCGGGTTGGTGCGTGTCTCTCTGCCTCTTTCCCACCATCTCTGTCTCTCTCCACCGTGCAGTCTCTTCCCGTCCCGGTCCTCTTTCAGAGTGTCCCTTTGAGCCTCGGTCCCTCTTTGCCTGATTCTCCCACTACACCTGGTGAGCCCAGTTTCTTCACCTGCCCTCAGTCCTACCAGGCTTACCATCCCCTCAAAACCCCAGGCTTCGACTCTACTCAACTAATCTTTTACCGCTTCTAAAATTCAACAAACAATATTCAACTCCAGCTTCCTCCGTTCCGGGGGCGCCAGAAGATGGGTCCCGTTCTGAGACCACGAATGACCCCCCCCCACACTCGAGGACCCTCAATCTACCCCATCCAGCCCGGGGGGGTCTACTAGCCCGAAGGCGAGGACTCCACTCTCCGGGTATAGCTCACCTCTGTCCGGCTTGAATTGAGAGAGGAAATGTCTGGCCACGAGTTCGTGGTAAGCAGTCTCTTGCAGCTTCAGGCGCTCCAGCTCGGAGAGGCTGTGTATGGATACCATGTCCATCCTGCGGTCGGGGTTCTGTCCTGGGGCTCCTCCCAGGACGCTCACTAAAAGAATGAAGGCAGACAACAACAGCAAAAAAATCATGATTCTGGGACACTGTGTCCTTGCTGCCTTGAGAAAAGCATTGCAGCCACCCATTCTGGAATCGGATGATTATCAAGGCTGCATCATCCAGTTGTCACTGGACCTAGTGAAGAGAACTATGGGGGGGAGGTAAAGAGGGAGGGAAAACTGGGAGGTGGCTTCACCCTCAAGCAGGGCTGCCTCTACTTGATTATTCAGGGGGAGAAGAAGAAAAAAACAACTTGGGAAAAAAAACCCAGCTCTGAACAGACAGTCCAGAAAAGAGAAAAAAACTAACAAAAAATGGAGAGAATTTTTTTTAATCAGCAACCTTATATGTTAAGCACTCTGCTACATCAATAAGTTACAATATTTTCTATTAATTAATTTGAGCACTGATAGTTTTTTTTTTTTTCCTTGATGATGCCCTTAGCTGTCTGGGTTAGGTAAAAAGGAGGCATCTATCCAAGCTAGGAGTACAGTTAAATTTAAATAACTCTTTCAGAAGACAAACTAGACACATGGATCTGAAGCCAAAATTTGTCCCCAGGTCTTTTCGGCTAGTAATTCCCCTTCTAGGAATCTATTCTAATGAAATCTTGCTACAGACAGGAAACATCATATACAAATGAGTCATTCAATAAAATATCTAGCCCCCAAATGAAATTAGTTATATAGATTATATAATAAATAGTATCAAAAATGATGCAACCATACAGGGAAACCTACAAAGAGATTTTCAACAACAAATACAAACTACAAAAAATATGATCACCATTATGCGAAGAAAATCATGATTAAAACATTGAAACAAACACACTTAAATTCTAACAAGTAGTCTTTCATGGTAGAATTCTGTCTGCTCTTACTTTTTCTCATTGATTAAGTCTGATTATGATGTATTTCTTGGGGGGGGGCAGACAGCTTTAAGAAAACAAACTCATCTCTAGACCATTTCTAGTGAGACTCTGGACAGAATTAGTGATGACATGATGTCTTAATGTAGTGACAAAAGTGTTTTATATTGCCTTTCTCCATGGCTCTATCTGATACTGTGCTCAGGCTGCACATCCCTCAGCATCCCTCAGTGGAGACCTCCCTGGACCCACAGAGTATCTTTTATCACATCCTCTGTTACTCATTTGTTCTTTCATCCACTTATTAAAAGAAAAAATCTGTATTAATTGCCCACTTTAATACTGCTCTTTTCATAAAAGATTTAATAGAGTGCAGTGAAAAACATACACAGGTTAGCAACAGTTTATAAAGCCCTTTGCTACAGCAGCTGGCAAAGGTATAAACAAAATACTGTGAGAACAGAAAGGAGAAAATATCTAAGTCTGCCTGGAGACAGGCTCAGGGAGAGGAGGGGGGAAGAAGACAGAGAGACAGAGACAGAGACAGAGACAGAGAGATAACAGCTTGTACAAAGGCAAAGAGATGGAAAAATGACATCTACTGAAAGCAATGTAGAGAAGCAGGAAGAAGATAAATCATGAAATACCCTATAATGCCATGTTTAAAAGGTAGACTTTTTTCTCCAGGCAATAGGGTACTACTATAGTGACAGAGTCATAGATGTACCTTTGAAAAATCACAAAGAGACATGAAAACACTAGTATGAGTAGAGATGCAATGAATTGGTTATATATATCGGAGATCCTGAATGGAAATGATAATATTTAGGGAAAAATTAATTTTAATGGAAAGGAAAAATTTAGGATAGCTTCCAAGCTCATAATTTGTGTGGATATGTTTATGGCAAGTTTCTGGCTGAGAATATGATTTGGGACATGGGGAACTAAGACATTTGACAAAAGGAAGCAAACTCATCGTTTTTCTAAGCTTCCCTCTCATATGGAGGTTTGCAAATATTTCTATATATTATTGGGGGGGCTCAAAATTCAAAGATCAGATAACATAGCTGTTGACAGAGAAATCAGAAAAAGATTTATCATACAGTAGTCTAAATAAATGAGCTATTCTGAATAGAAAGAAAATATACTTCTCCTTGAGTCTTATCAACAAAATTCTCTTTTACCCACTTACCTTAATGGCAAGTCATAGATATCAGAAATGACTGCCAGATAACTGAGGTACAGCATATGAATAGAATGAGGGCTGTTTCTGCAGCTCTTAGATGAAGCAAAGATAAAAGTCTATAGATTCTAAAGCTCCTTCAACTGCAAAGCACATACCCGGAACCCAAGGTGAACACCAAAGCTCAACCACCAAATAACAACCAAAAGTAACCATTTAAACCAAAGGCATATACATTTAAGTGCAGCTCCAGACTGAACTTCTAGCAAACCCTACTCACAAAAGCAAGCCGAAAATCTATCAAATAAGGGTCTCATCTTGACACACAGTCTAACTTAAGCTTCAGATTTCTAACATCACAGTCCCCCTCCCCTTATCCATTCCAAACATCTTAGTACCTCTCTTGGAGTTTCAGCTATTTCTTCTTGAGCTTACCAAAGCTGTTCACCCAAAGAGCAGAGCTGGTTCTTTCCCCAAAAATACAGGATGAAAATAAATCCCTCCCCTCCTCAAAAAAAAAAAAAAAGGTGAGAACAAACAGTGAAACCTCAAATCATCATCAGCCCGAATAGGAGGGGGGGGGGGAGCCTTGGAGAGATGAGTCAGCCTAGATGCTTACAATTCCAAAGGAAATCAAAGGCCTTACAATAAACCGTGTGTCATTGCCTCCCTGCTTCAACATACAGGGCTGAACTTAACAATAGCCATAGGTTGCAGTACTGCCAACAAAATTGACTCCATCTTATGTACCTCTAACCCTCTAAGATCATCAAAACTATAGCAGAGCAAGGAAGACCAGAATGCCCCTAAAAGAAGCAAACAGGAAACACAGGGAGGGGATAAACAGGCTTTAGCACTAAGGGACAGGCGCAAAGCAAGTTCTTTAGGTTTAACCAAGCTACTTGTTCTCAATCCTGACTTGCCAAGCTGAACACAAAAGAAGGCTCACCACAGGGAACAAAGTGCCTAGAGACCTCTCTTGCTTCAGTATCTTCCCCTCCCCAGTTCAGCATGCCATTTTTGAACTCATTGTAGTGAAATGGCTATGAGATTTAAAAGATAGCCAAGGAGGAATGTGAAAGCAAAGAATCCAAGATATTTGTAAAAATAATTTGTGTACCCAAACACTTGTAGTGGGCAATAAAGCTAGAGCCCAAACCATTATTTCTTAGCTGTAAAAACATAGGAAAACCAATTGAATTCTGAGCCTTGGTGACCTGCTCTGTAAAATGGGGAAATGACATAGCTTCCTTTTCCATAGTTATATCTTAAATGAATATTTTGTGTGCAATAAGAAGCACTAGTGTTTTTATTTTTTAATAAATATGTAGTACCAAAGATTCTTTGCAGAGAGCCCAAATCAGGCTGCAAAAAAAAGATGATTACATAGAATAGGAACTTGTATTGATGCGTTAATTAATCTACTCTGCTCAATTTCGACCAAGTTTGAATTCAATTAGCACAGATAAAGAGATCTGGGGATCTATTAAGAAAAGCTCTGTTTTCTTCACTCTTCAACCACAACCATTTTTAATTATCTTACATGAGTCAGAAAAACCTAACTGCATAATTAAATATTACAAATGCTGTTGTTCAGGCTAGTATATTGCAGCTATGTCCCCAAATGTATTTTTCTTTCAAACCATCTAGTTTTACCATGTTATCAGCAAAAGAACATATAATATCATTTAGATCACTAAAAGAGTTCAGCAATTAGCAGATACCAAGCAAGAGAATCTGAACAAAGGGCAGTGGGACAAATTAAGTACTGAGCAGTGCAAATGGGGTAGGGGGAGCACCTTTGGGTGACATCAAGAGTGTTCTCCATGTCCTGCTAAATTGCATGGCACAGATGGGGAAACAAATTAATGTTGGAAAGGTCAACCACTTCAACATGGAGAGGACAGAAATGATCTCTGCTAACCATAAATCCACAGCCTTCAAAACTTGGGGACCTAATTTACTCCATTGTTCCCATCATATAGTTAGGATTGGTCCAGCTCTCACCAGCAAATATGGATGGGGAAAGAAACAGGGACCACACTGACTATGTGGTCTGAATATCTATTAATTAGGCACCTTGTGGCATCATTAGGATTTTGCTCCAAGCCACTGAAAGCTCTTTGGAGTTTGAGAAATTGATAGTGCATGGGGCTGGGTGCCCAGAAGGTATTGCATCTACATCATTCAAATGTGTACAGGCAGTGACAATGGGCAAAGACATCCCCATTAATATATCACAACCTGGGGAAGAGATACAGAGCTCCAGCTGAACACATCTGGGCACCGACTTGCTCTGCTGCCACATTACCTCATTCATCTGGAGCATTAATGAGTTAGCCTTTAAGTTGTTATCCCATAACCTCCATTTCAGCAAAGGCTGAAGATGCAGTGAACAAAATGACTCATTTTAGCCTATGCAGTGGTGATGCCCCAAGATAATTAAATCTGGGGACAGTGTTCTTCAGTCTGTGCAGTCAGCCCATCATAACACGACTGAAGCTCATAAACTGGAGATAGTATTGTTAAAACATCTCAAGGAAAGCCCTGGCTATAAAACTCTGTTTCAAGCATAGTGTACAATGAGGACTGGAGTGAATCTTAGCTGTAACCTAGTCCAAAACCTCTTTTCTGCATTTAAGTAAACTGGGACTCCGAGACTGGACATGGACCCATTTCTCATTCTCAGGGCATTTTTTTTTCCTACTACCCCATCCACCAGTCCTCTCAAGCTTTTTGCATTGCTAGATAATTAACTCTCAAGAATGCATACATAATCAAAGGCTAATTCCATAAAGCCAGAGGAACTCATATAGAAGGCAGACAGCTACCAGAAATCACTGCATCTTTTTACAATAAGTACATTCATCATTCCATAAAATGTGCCCTTTTAAAATTGTATGGACTAAAGAAAGAAATCCAGCTCAGAATGGTGAAAGGC